TAATTTAATTATGAATTTCTGTTTATAACCAAATTATACTAGTTTATACTGAATATTAGTATATCGATTACACAATTGGACAAAATTGGAGCTAGAGAGGCCCCCGAATCCCTGGTTGTCATGCAAATAGTTGTTTGCTTTTATTGAAAAACAGCCAACAATATACTTTTGCCTTCATGATTTCAAAATAATGCAATTTTAGCATAACATTGCGCTATGATCACTAATTTCTTTTTTCTTTTTCTTTTGTAATTGGAAATGTGTTTTCATCTTTGTACACCTTGAGCATTCTAACAACCTATATCGCTTGGAATTCTTAATGTTTTTTTCGCTAGGAAGTAAATGACTTGGATTCCAAGACTGATAATTATCACAGTGAATAACCATGAGATGTATGTAGGTTCACATATGGATTTTTATTAATTGCCATTCTCCACTCTATATACGTGTAAGTGTAGTGGAAAAATCTTTATAAAGACAACGTAATCATATTTTTAGGTATCCACACCAAAGTGAAATACAATACTTTGTTCTTTTTTCTTTCATTTAGGCTGAAACTCAACCCTTTACAATAAGTCAAGCACTCTATGAGCTTAAATGAGTTTATAATCAACTTACCAATGAATTGACTTGGACTAGTTCCAATTTAAATTCATATGCAATTCATATACATATTGCGTACTAAGCTAGGATTAAAATACAAGCCAAATTATTTGATATTTGAATTGACTTCGGCTTAATAAGAGCCCATTTGAACTTGAACAGTGTTTTGTATCAGGTAAACAATAAACATCCAAATTTGGCTCGATAGATCAAAAGTGAAATGATGTATAAGAAAGTTTAAAACACTCGAACTTGGCTTAGTAAATGGTCATTTAAATTTTGGTCGATAAATAAACAAGTTAAATTTGAACATAATTTCAAACTCATTAGAATAATTAAACAAATTTGAACATTAGGGTATTATGTTTGATTAAATTGAGCTCTTTTTTATTTTTAATTTTTGATGGTAATATTAATGACTATATGAGTTTTCACATATCTATATGTATATGTATTGCAGGGGAGATTTTAGTGGAGGCCCCCTGGATGCCTTTGAAATCTCCCATACTTTTTTTTTGGATTTTTAATTTATTTTAATACATAAATTCAATTAAAAAGTTTGAAATAGTGATTTACAACTAATCCTGTGTCAATTAAAATTTAAAATTTTTCCACTTCAAATGAGTGTTGAATAAATCCTTTACAGTTTATATTCAAACTTTAACCCCTTTTTCCTTTCATAATTAAAGAAAATAAATTTGAATAATTTGATTAGTCCCATATTAAAATCATTCACCCTATTACAATTTTATCACTTTATCCCATTTTACTCCTTGATTACTAATAAAGATTGATTTGTCAAATATGAGGAATAATATGATTAGTCCCATTTTTTAATCATTTACATAGCACTTTCCTTCCAGGCATGTACATAGATTTGTCAAACATTCAAATGACATATTCAATTATAACCAGTCTTTAATCATTTAACCTATTGCAACTAAATCAACGTTTGTCGCCTTAAACTTATCATATTAAACGATTATTCCAACCAATGAAATAAACATTTTTGACATACAATGTCATCTAGATAATTTTTGACATACGCAAAACTCCACCTAGATAATTTTTCATATAACACGTATATCAAAAAGTGCACATAAAACAAAAATTTTATATGAATTTTAAATTAATAAAAGGAGCATTTAAATGATTGTTATTTTGGAGTTTTTATCAGAAATTTTAAGACAAAAATTTGTTTAAACAATTATCTTGGATGGTCATCACAAAAAATAGTAGCATTTTACCAAAGTTATACCCAATTACTTTTCCTTGACGGCTATAATTCTAACTTTTTATTTAAAAAAAATTAAAAGTGAGGTAATGAATTCTAAATAATAAAAGAAATAGAAAGATAGGAGTATAGGGTTGGAAAAGGTAAAAGTAAGGTAATGAATTTTAAATAGTAAAAGGAGTATAAAAATAGGGGTATAGGGTTGGGGATGGTGAAATCGACGGAGTTATAATTATGGGTTGGGAAGAAACTATCAAAATGGGTGATTTATGTAGGTTAGATGGATATAGTTTTACATGGTTTTAGTTATCTTACCCATTTATGGTCCACTACAAATTTTATTTATTTTTTCCCATATTCATTGAGCAACAAAATAAGATATCATTGTAATAAACACTAATAGAAACGTATTATATTAATAAATAAATTTTTACCTAAGAACAGAACAAATACAGAAGAACCAAAAATGGTGAGTTTCAAATTTTGCAATCTATAAGAATTTCAAAATAATTTAGGTCTAAATGCAAGAAATCAATTAACACTCAATGAGTTAATTAAAACTTTGATGGAAAGAAAAGAGGGAGTAGGATGAGATTTAACAAAAATTAAAAAAAAATGAAATTTAAAGAATAGGAAAAGAGCGTTAAATATGGCTTTGCAAAAAGTAGAATATAATTATTGTATTGATAGTGATATAAATTTGCTTACTAATGAATTCAAATCGACATCTAATTTAATTAGCTCTAAATAGGTAGTTCCAATCTATCAATTTAATAGCCACTATTTAATGGGTTTAATTGGGTTACCTATCTTTTTTTTGCCAAAATGTCGTTTACTTTTCGATTAAAACGTTAATGCATTTACAACATTATACAAAAGGGAACAAATTGGGTTACCCATTTGAAACTAATAAAATTGCATACCTACACTCATGTGTGGGAAACCGAGTTGAAAAATTGGTCACTATTTACAACTATAAATTGGTGAAAAGAATAGTATAATAAGAGGCAAATAGGTTGCGAAATTGGCTAAGAGATTGCGCAATTTGATAGTAGGGTATGGTGAACGGAAGGTATTGTTTGTGGGCAGGAAAAGAATTAGAGGGATGCAAGAAGTTTGGGTTAGAAAGGTGAGGAAGGGGTAGTGAAGAGTAGAGAAATATTGAGGGGTAGTGGTGTAAAAAGTGATAATGTGGAATAGGGATGGCAATTGGGGCGGGTGACTGCGGGCACCCGCCCCGCTGAGGGCTAATAGGGAGGGGGTTGGGACGGGGGATGGGGCGGGGGCGGGGGAAATTTTTTTCCCTCCGCTTAGAAACGGGGCGGGGGCGGGGGCGGGGGAGTGTACCCCCGCCCCGCCACCCGCTTTAAAAAAATAAATATATAGAATATATATAGGTATATAATTATATATAATATATAATTTAATTAGTTACAAACTTATGATAATAATATTATTAGTTATATGTATTATATGATGTCTATTAATATATATAATATAATTGATATTATTAATTATACTAATAATTATATATGTGTACTAATACAAATTATTAATTGGTTATACTAAATTTACTAATACATTTATACTAAATCCCTAATTACACTTAATACAATAACATTTTTTTTTCTTAAAAAAAGCACAAGCACAATAATGAATTAGTGATTGTATTTGTACCAAAAGTGAAAACTTAACTACTTTAGTTATATTTATTTCATCATGTTGGATTGTATTGAAATAATTTTTGTTTGATTGTTTTTATAAGTTTCAATTATAAAATTACAATGAATAATAATTTGATGATGTGTTGATATTTTAGTACTTGATTATTTGTTAAAATTTAACCATAATAAAATTATATAACAATATTTTATTAGCCCCGCGGGGGAAGCGGGGCGGGGCAGGGACGGGACGGAGGGAGCGGGGGACGGGGGATGGGGCGGGGGCGGGGGCGGGGGGAGTTTGTAGGCAGCTGGGCGGGGGATGGGGGAGGGGTCCCCCGCCCCAACCCCGCCCCGTTGCCATCCCTAATGTGGAACAAGGGGTAATAATGTTGTGCTTGATGTAGTTTTAGTATTTCTTTAGATATTTTTGTGATATTTTTTCATATTTTTCATTATACTTTAAAGTTTTAGGTAGGGTGCATAAATATAATAAAGATTAAATACTAAAATAGCACTCTTTTAATTTTTTAAACCTTTTCTTTCTTGTAACTAATATAAATAATTCATTTATTATTATTATTATATTAAACGTAAATCCGTGCATTGCATGGATCACAATACTAGTTTAAATTAAAATTGGAAGTACAAAGCAAATTTACCCCGTTTTCCACCCCTGAAAAAAACAAAAAAAAAAAAAATTCAGCGCATGAATTTGGCTAAAACGTTAATGGTAATTTTTATTTATTTTTGGTCAAGAAATAGCCAAAAATCTAGTCGTATTTAAGAAAACGAGGTGAAATTTGTAAGCATGGACGACGCGGGATTCGGAAGTCACCTTAAAAAGTGATGGTTGGATATGATGTTTCCAAGTGTTTCATTAGCCCTCGGACGGTCCTATGATTCATTTGCTTTCTAGGAAGCTAACGTAACGGCCAAATCCTTTTGGTGTTTTCTTGCTTCTTTCTATCTGCACCCCCAATCAGTATCCAGCCCCCTCCTCCCCCAAGAGAATTTCCCTTCTCTCTCTCCTCTCTCTGGAGTCTCCTAGCATTCTTCAACATTTCATCAGAGAGAGAGAGAGAGAGAGAAAGAGAGAGAGAGAGAGAGATTAGAAACTCATCTGGGCTCGATAGAAAGATAAGGGAAAAGAGTGAAAAAAAAATTCATACATTCATTTGTGTATGTTCATTCATTTTTTATCATCTGACAGAAGTACGTTAGTATATGGTATTAAAAGCACATGGACAAAAGGATCCTCGGGCCGCTGCCCACATGTAAACGAAAACCAAAAGGTGTGTGGTTTCATTTTCATGCATAAAAATAATGAATAAATTTTCCTTTTTTTTTGGTTGATTAATTTATGGATTCTTGATTTTATGTTTCTTTTTTGTTGATATATATATATACATATGGATGGCAGGAAACTGTGTGCTGGATCAGTGATTTGGATATTGGATCGTTGGGAACGTATATTTATCAATCATTCTTCCCTTTAGTATTTTCGATAAATGGGGGGAATATCTGATAACGTGAAAGGGCTTGTTTTAGCTCTTTCTTCCAGTGTTTTTATTGGTTCTAGTTATATTGTCAAGAAAAAAGGTCTCAAAAATGCCGGGAGAAATGGAACTCGAGCAGGTTCAATTCAATCCTTTCTTGACATTTCATGTCTTCGTTGAATGCATATCTCAAATGTTCTTGCACATGCATTTTTTAACAGAAATATAAGTTACATACATACATATATAGATGAATGATATGTTGATGTCATTTTCTAGGTTTATTTTGGGTGATAACACGAAATGTTTGCCCACAATTACATGCCGAATTTGATGCACATTTCGTGAAATGCTTGTTGTTTGAATATGTTTTCTTGAAGGCCCTATTGAGTCTGATATAAGTGTATCTCCAACAGCTTGTACATTTGCTCATTTTACTGATAACAAGCATAGTTCACATGCTCCCATCTTGAGTGATATTGTATCAAAAATTTGAGTGTGGTTTTGGTTGTACACCTACCTTTGTTATTTCTTGGGTCAAATTATCAGTATCGCCACCTGTTCATTCTTGTGAATTTAATTTCTTTATTTGTTAGGTGCGTTTAATCAGATGCTTAGGGGTTTGATACTTTGATTAGCTAGGTGAATACCGTATTAAAAATATTAACCGACTGAACTTTTTTGTCCTAGAATTATGTTTGGCTGATTTTTCATTTGATCTATGGATTAGTGATTGAGTTTTATTGGCTTTTTTTTTTTGGTCAGGTTCTGGAGGATACTCATACTTGCTGGAACCTTGGTGGTGGGCTGGGTTGATAACAAGTAAGATTTGTTATTGCTTGGAGACATATTTAATTGCAAACGGTGTATGGTTTCCAAAGGTCAACCCTAATGGTTCAGACCTAAGGGATTGGGAAAATTGACTCAGAAAAGATGTACTTACGTAGACGCTTGCGTACAAATCAAGTACTTCTATGACATGAGTAAAAGTTTACTAGTAGCTAGTGTAAGGTGAATCTTGTGATTTTGAATTGGTGGTTGAAATCCAAACTTGCATTTTCTTTGGGGGTTATCCAGATGTGGATTGCAATTGAACTTTCTTCTTTAAGTTAATCCAACTACTAATCTTTTAGACTTTGTGGGCTAAAGTTTGTTTGATGTGATTGTTGCACACATGTTGATGTGGGCACAAAGGTTTCCCAAAAGTAAGGTAGTAAAAAAAAAGGTTGAGTTGTTTTAAGTTGATAACCTGTTATGAACAAATGGTCTTCAATTGACAACTTGTTTGGTCAATCAAGTTGCAAAAAGAAAAAAAAATCTGGGATTTCCATTGTCGTTAAGAATCTACTGAACCACATCTGTCTTTTTCTCTAATCTTTTCGGAATCTCTCATTTTGTTCATGATGAAACTTTTATGTAGTGATCATTGGTGAGATAGCTAATTTTGCTGCCTATGCATTTGCTCCGGCAATCCTTGTGACTCCCTTGGGAGCTTTAAGCATTATTTTCAGGTACAGCATAGATTATCTTGATAAATGAAGCTTCTATGTTAGCATTTCTGCACATTTCTTTTATGTAATTTTTATACAATTCCGCATCAAATCTCATGCAGTGCAGTTCTAGCACATTTTATTTTAAAGGAGAGACTTCATATCTTTGGCGTGGTTGGTTGTGTTCTCTGCCTGGTTGGTTCTACTACAATTGTTATACATGCTCCAATAGAAAGGGACATTGAATCTGTCAAACAAGTATGGCAACTAGCAACTGAGCCAGGTGAAATTCTTCTACCGCGTTTAGTTGCTTCTAAATTTTTCTTTGGCATTCTACATATACTGCTTTTTGTCGGAAGTTTTTGTTTGTTGTCTTGAATAAGCTGCATGGAATTGGAGAATTGTATTTGTTTTTTTCCCTCAATAAGCATTCCATTCATTTTGTCGTCATTTAATGTTCAGGAGGAAACAGCAGAAAGCCCTTCTTCATCCATTGCATATTACAGAGTAACAGCGGAAATTTTGTGATTGATCTTGAGCATATTATGATGGAAGGAGTTAGATATTTACTTTGTGATAGAACAATGAAGGAGTTAAATATTTACTCTATTAATTCGATGATAAGTGGTCAAGACATTGAGCTATATTGAAATGTTCATTAGGAGTTAGGACCATTCAAAGCTCTCAATTGAAGAGATGCATAGCTATCAAATTAGGTGACTATCAGACTTAAAGCATTCTCTTGAACTTGTGCTCAGTTAGGTTACTCATTGTGCCCTGAGGAGGGCACTGGTGTAGTCAAGAAATTCAAACTCCTAGCTTTGAAGCAGTTATACTACACATGCATCTAACATGCATTTCCTGGATTCTAACCTGGAGTTACATGGCCATGTTTACTGAATTTGCAATTTATTCTTTCCTATTTTCAGACTGATAATTAGCCCTCTGCTATAAACAGGATTCCTTGTCTACAGTTGTGTAGTTGTGATTCTGGTATTGATCCTAATTTTCCAGTATGCACCACGTTATGGGCAGACACATATGGTTGTCTTCATTGGAATTTGCTCACTCACTGGCTCTCTTACGGTATGTTTATCTTCATGAGGCTTTGGTGTGGTTAATCTTTAGTCCTCTTATGGTTCTCAGCATCCTTCCTGTGTTCTGTAGGTTATGGGAGTCAAAGCTGTTGCAATTGCTCTCAAGCTGTCTTTCTCAGGAATGAATCAATTTAAATACTTCCAGACATGGTTTTTCACTTTGTATGTGATTGGGTTTTGTATTTTGCAGCTGAATTACTTGAACAAGGTACCTATCTCAAATAGGGTAAAGAATGTTTATGTTAAAAAATGGCTTGATCTCTTGAGGCAGAAAATAGCCGTGGCATTCACTGTTTAGCAGATAAATATTTGCTAGAATTTACATAACTTATCCTGGCCTCAAATTGGTACGAGGATTATTTAGCAGTTTTGCAGTAGATTTCGATGTTAGACTTGTGGATGGCACAGAATGGCCTGAAAACTGAAAAGGATAGAAACAAAGAACAGATTTCAAGGATGGTCTCCAACAAAAATTTGGTGGTTTTAAGTTTTTGAAATCATGTCAATATGGTGCGAATGGACACACTACTTAGACTAGCATAATTAGATATACTGAAGTAATTGAAGGCAGGTGACCAACCATGATGACCTGATGGTTGAAGCCTTTGTTTCTGGATTTCAATTTTCAATAATCAGTGCATTGTCCTATGAAAATGATGGTTATCCACTGCCTATTTCTTTACATCTTTATTAATACTGATAAACAAACACTATATTGAGATTCCTTACCTATGCTATGACAATAAACTGCTCCTTGTGGCAAGATAAATATTCATCTTGCACTTCCTTTGCTCTAAAAGCAAGGTTCGTCAACTGGCTTCAACACTATCTTTAGCTGAAATATTAGCAAATTCTGTCATCTGTCTTGAACACTATCTTTGGCTTTACCATTTGCTATGACAGGCAAATTCTTCAGTTCTTCAGAGAGCACGAATGTTCCCTTTCTTGATTTTTTCCTGTTATCTTTCCATGAACAAGTGAATACTAAATTTCTGAATATGGATTTTGTTGTAGATAAACTGTAATTTGTTGTACCTTTCTTATGTTGCTGCAATGGATTCCAGTTACCTGAAAAATGTGTAATCTGATAATTGTACATGTCATTTTGCAGGCACTGGATGCCTTTAATACAGCTGTGGTGTCCCCGGTATACTATGTTATGTTTACATCCCTAACCATCCTAGCTAGCATTATAATGTTTAAGGTACTTTCATTTGGCTTTTATTATTAGCTTTTTCCTTTATATATATATATATTTTAGTGTTGTGGATTGGGAGAAGGTGGGACGAATCGGAGCAACAAAAGGCTGACCTTCAAACTTTTCATGCAGGACTGGGACAGTCAAAATGCGTCGCAAATTGTCTCTGAAGTATGTGGCTTTGTGACTATCCTGTCTGGGACATTCCTTCTCCACAAGACCAAGGACATGGGAGGTGTTAGCAGTACTAGTAACACGCCCGTGCCATCTCCTGTATTCCTGGCATCACGCCAGAATTCAAGTTCCATACGGTCTGAGATTTGAGATGAGATCGTTTCTGTGCATCTAAAAGAAGCAGTGGTTTTGATCATGGTCTGAAGAAGCTGATTAATCTGGAATTGGTGGATAATACTTTCTATTAAGCAGAATGCGACTTGGCATCAGGGAATGGGAAATGAAGGAGGATATAGAGTATGCTGATAACGTCAATTCTTTGTCTGTAGATGAAGGAAGGAAATCCTAGCCATTTTTACCCTACACTCCAAAACAATACGTAAAAGCAAGAGTGAAACAAAAACAGAGAAACACCTAGTTGACCCTATTTAAATTGAAACTGGTTTTATTGTAGATATGTCTGAATATTGCTTAGGAGGACTTTTGAGATTAGATGGATACAATGAGAAAGGATATGAACCCATCTCCCGTTTTTGCACATCTTTTAGGCAATCACTTTTAACTACCTGTGCTTTTGTGTGTGTTTGTGTGTGATGGGAATACCACAATGTATGCCTTGTCTGTTTTGCCAAAAAACTTAAATGCTCCACTGATCAGTTAACATTGTTAAGCAACTATTGGTTTTTTTTAATATTTGCTTTCTCTGGTAAGAATACTGCTTCATTTAATATGGTTTCTGATGTATATAAATGAAGAGCTAAAGGACACAACTTCCCCAATAAGGCATGCCTGCATTCATGTTATTGGGGAATAAGTTGGATGAATATTCCTAAACACAAATGCAGGAGATTACTGGAAAAATAACGTTGATGATGATATTTTAAGAGCTTAATGTCACCCTTTCTGCAGAAACTCCTAGCTAAAAGGAGTACAGTCATGATTGCCATAGCAAGCGAGGACCTCTGGCTAGATTTCAAGCTTTGCAGAATACTAGTGAATGTGTTCCATCATAATGCACCTAATAACTTGTGGATTGCCATTTAAGCACGGTATGATTTTGATGTGCACTGCGTTCGTGCTAGAGGCTTCAGGGTAGGCTAATGAAAAGCTAGGTGAAGAGCTGTTCTTCAGGATACAGGAAGACTGCATTCAAGTTCAATTTCAACTTTGATACTTGAGAGCTAGAGGGATGGCTAATTTATTTGTCCAGTTTCTTTTGTGATAAGGTTCACAGAACATAAAGTAGTATAATTGTAGGCAGACCAACAGATCAACAAATTTCAATTCAAATAAACTTTCAAAACCAACAGAAAGTCAGCCACCTAAATTGCCTAAACTTACTCCAAAATAACTAAAGCATAGAAATAATCAGGTAATGATACCTCATGCAATTGCAGCAAGGGAGTCACAGCCTCTCATGACTCAATGCATAGTATTACCAGCCAGAACACCCTTGATCAACTGTGACAATTCTTTATGTAAACCAGATTTAAGGCCCTAAAAGCATGAACTTCGACGGATATTTCTGCTTGTTATGAGCCAATCCCACCTCTTTGTAGTCGTCAGTAGTTTCATCGTGTGAATGAAGCCATCTGCCACAACAAGGTTCTTTGGCAGTAGAATTTTAGCGAGGTTAGTGGCTAATCCCACTACTTTTGGGCTGAAGGATTCAACAAGGGAATTTCAAGAAATTTAGCCATGGTATGTTAGACAGTTACACAAAAAAAGAATTTGACACCCATAAGTGTGATATTCATGAAGTTTGCAAGCACAATATCTCAAGATTACAAGGGAACTCGATGCCTTTGTTTTATTTCGGGCAAACCTCCTTAACCAGAGCAAACTAACTAAGAAAACCCAGAACATCAATGGAGTATAAATTCCCACCATGAAGACCTCCAATTAGAATGTACGAATTTCAGCTAATTCAGTCTTTTATTCTATGCTGTCTAACCAACAGCATTTTGCATTTACTTCTGGTTTCTGTGATGCAGGAGAACGCGCAATTCAGGATCAGTTAACTTCTGGATCCCTACTATTAGAATTGAAGACTGAAGACAGAACAATTCTCAATCTTTTCAAATTTGCAAAAAAATATCATGAGAGAGAGATAAAATTTCAAATCTCAAACAAATTTGTGAAGTTTACTAAACTACTTTCCTTGCCTGCAGAAGATTATGCTTTACTAAATAAATCTCAATCTATCCAACTCTCAAGTTCAGTTCTGGTTCCTCATCATTTTGGCAGTTTCTAAGTTGAATCCCTGTCGCTTTTTCCATCTCCTGCATCATCGCCACCACAACCACAAGGTTCAAAAAGGCTATCAAAGCAAACACGTGCCTCCATTTGTCTCAGTTTTTCAGCAATATAAATAACCTCAGGTGAGCTTTCCTCAAAAGTTTGTATAGTACAGGAGACCTCTTGCCAATTTGTAAAAGAAGGTGATGATAAAAACCATTATTCAAGCATGCCAGAGGAGTCAAGACATCAGAATCTCTCAATCGCATATGTGACCGCTTCATTAGAGTAAACTTAGTCCAAGAATCCTTGATACCATAATCTTTCATCAGCCAGACCTCAGCCTTGATGTTGCCATTACGCCCTGCATAGAAAAGTGCAGAAAGGCAACCATTGAATCTCCCTAAACTGATCTTCAGAACAGTTTCATTATCTCCAGGTTCAGGTATAGGCAGTGGCAGCTTGAAAATTTTCTAAATGGAGAGATCAAAGGCAGCAATGAAGGCATCATCAACTTGTGGCAGGGCGAAAATTTTCAAAGTTGAGATATCATTGGCGGCAATGTAGACATCAACCAATAAGCACTCTCTCATTAACCAGTGCAAGGCATTATGACTGAAAACACCATAACCTCTCATGTAAGTGGTAAAGGCCTGATCAATGGGAAAAGTCCTCCATAAATTAGATTTCATGCTATACAACTCAAATTCATGGGATTTTCCATACACTACTCCATTCCTATATCTAACAATTTTGACCAAAAGCAGCAATTTTGTAGTCATCAGAAACTTCATCATACCCAAAACCGACGTGATGAGACTTTTTGCAACTTCTGATGACAAGTCACAACAAGAGGAATGGTGGCAGTTGTAAACGCCATTGCTTTTCTGTCAAAGGATTCCACAAGATAATACCTCTCAGTGGCTGCTTATGAGAGCAACCGAGACATAACAGGCTATTACATGATCCCAGAATGTTGTATGCAGGTAGAAATGGGTGCTGAAGAGAGGGTATAACAGGCTTTTAGCAGCATTGTCACGAAGCTTATCAAGACTTAACGGAGTATAAGTTGGGAGGGTTGTAGAAGCTAGGCTTGGCTCTGAAGATGAGCTTAGTAACTCCCAAAGAGTCTGAATTTTTTCTCTGACTTTAATGAAATTTCCTAAATTTTGGACTAGTAATTTGAGCACGCCGTGCTTTTGACACGCCCAGAAGTCTTCCTAGAGACTTCACTGGTAGGCTTGTGAGCACTTCACTGAAGAGCTATTCCTCAGGAAAATAATTATAAGACAGTGAAAGTTTTTTGGATTTGAAACCTTTGCAAAGGATCGAAAAGAATGATAAGAAGAAATAAGGAGATGAGATGTAGATGTATCATATATTGGGCCTAGATAGATTAATGTCTAAGAAATTGAGTAGGAATCGAAGTAGGTGGCTGGTAACTTGCCAAAAATTTGTTCCAGTCCGGATTTGGAAGCTAGGAGTGAAAAGGACTGTTCTTTTTTCATAAATAATATTTTAGCTCTTAGAGTTGCAAAAGCTTAAAACTTCATTTTCTTGATTTGCAGCTTGTCAATTGGTTAAACAACTTCCTTGTGATCGATCCTTGTGAGCCCGGATTGGCAATTTCAGGTTGAGCATTGCCAAATTTACAACTAGACATGAAAAAAAAAAAATTTTTATGCCAAGGCATATAGCTCTTTTAAGTAAAAATAGCAGCACTCAAACTCTATGCAGAAATCATTAAACTTATCCCACTCATGTACAAAGTCAAAGGGAAACAAAAATCATACCATCAAGAGAGTACTCAATGCAATACTAACTAGCAAAGAAGCAATAGTTAACGGAACAATAAATATAGCAATGTTTGATTATGAAATTTGAGTAAGCCTCAAATCAAGATTGAACTTCCCTTTAGAGTTGCGACAACAAATTTTAGCCAAAATACGAGGGATGCCTTAAATAAACTTCAATCTTGATACTCAACATTTTTGGAACTCTCTCCTTTTTGCATGAAACAAGAATTTGACATCCATAATCATGAAATTCACAATGTTCATAGGCACAATGTCTAAAGATTGCTGGAGAACTTGATTTCTTTGGATTATTCCTTGCAAGCCTTGTTAAAAGCTGAGCAAAACTAGCAAAGAAAATGTAGAACGTCTATGGAGTGTGTAGTTTTTAATCAGCATGGCAACTTCCAATTACGACGAATGAATTTCAGCTAAATCAGACTCTATTATTCTTATCTTAAAGCATTTTCTCTTGATTGTGCATTGTCAACTTGGCTTGGCGTCATTTGTATATGGACAAAAATAGTATGAAAAAATCAGGACAGACTACAGAGCATTCATCTACGATTGATAGGAAGATATGGTTCGAATTTTGAACCTTGATCCTGGAGAACTACAAAGGATGACAAATTCTTCTGCTCAATTTGATCGAGATACAAGCTCTGATCTTGATTCTCACCCTAAAATAAGGTTACAAGAAGAGAAGAAGCGGAGTTACTATTAGGCCATCTTAACGAAATGAATATAGATTTGCTCTTTTGAAAGCTCACTTCATATATCACAACATGCACCCTGCCCCTTTTGGAATGTGATCACTGCATTCCATAAAAAAAGCAGTCTTGATGAGTTAAGAGTCTATTAAAGAAGGAGAAAAGACAGCCAGAAATCTATATGAAGATACAATTAAACACTTTTCTTGCGAAGATGCAAGAGCCACTAATGTTCCTATCTTTAATGAATGTGTCGCCTTTTTGCTTAGCAAAACCCAACTTTCCCTTCGTACTGCTGGTTCTTCTGATGGAGGATACATGCAATTGAACTTAATCCAGGATAAATTAAGTTTTTATTCCATACTATGAAAATGATGGACTTAAGACATGATACTTCTCAATCATTTTGATTTGGGTAAAAGACCCAATCGCATCAGAGAAAGACTAGACTAAAGCCAGACACAAACACACAAAGCATCCGGAGTTTACAAAAGGAGTAAATTCGTAAGGAGGAGCAGTTGACTGAATAAACCTCCAGCTATCCAACTTTGGCAAGTTCATATTTTTGTACCCTTCATTTTGGCAGTTTGCCTGTTTAATCCTGTCGCTTTATCCATCTCAAGCATCACCACCACCACCACAAGGTTCAGCAACGCTTATCAAAGCACACACATCCGTCCCATGTGTCCCAAGAGGCTTGACTTTGTTTTTTAGCAATATCAATAACCTTAGTTGAGTTCCCCTCAAGGGTGTGTACTGTGTAGTATGAGAGAATTACGG